TGGGATAAAAGATATGATCGATAATTGAGATTGACACGTATCCATATCTCATTATTGATTGGATCATATTGACGAAAGGATTATAATTTCACGGTAAACGAACAAGTTTGGTTTGTCACATCACGTGACATTTCTCATCACATTATTGCCCTGACACATTGCTAGATGTCAATCTGGGACGACGAATGTGAATTAGTGATAAATTAAAATGGGTGTTTTTAATTTATCGATTTTGATTAGATCAAAATAATAATTCACGTTATTAGGTATCGTGACTGGGAACCTAACGGGTCACACACAAAAGAGAACCAGGAGAATGAAATTTACCAATTAATTAATTGATAAGTGTTGGACAATTAATTAATTGGGTTGCTTATTAATAGGCCCAAATTAATTAATTGGATTAATTAATTCATGGACCGAATTTAATTAATTTGATTCATTAAATATCGGATCGGGTTAAGTTTAGAGATGGGCCAGCCCACTTGGGCTTATATTAAGGGAAAAATTCATAAATAAGGTGTTTAGTTTAAACCAATTCAAAAATCATGTTTATAGTTTGAAAATTCAAAATTCAGGTTTTTTTTTTAAAAATATAATATAATAAACCCACCCCACATGCACCACCCTTACCGCTCAGGACTATTCCGGCGACCATTCCGACCACCACTCTTCTCCGGCGATCGTTCCGACGACTGCTCCGATTCCGACAATTATTCCGGCGACTATTCCGGTGACCATTTTGGTCACAGATTTACAATTTAAGGTCACAGTTCAAAATTTTTATAGGTCACATTAATTAGTTGGTTACAGATTTCAAAATTAGTTGGTCACAGATCAAAGTTTATTGGTCACATAGTCACAAATTTTCAAATTAATTGATCACAGATTTCCAAATTATAGGTTACAGTTTATTTTATTGGTCACAAATAAAAAAATTGTAGGTCACATGTTAAATATTGGTCACATGTTTTCAGATTTGTTGGTCACAAATTATTTTTCAAGTCACATGTTATCAAATTTTAGCGTCACAGGTTAATACTTGGTCACATGTAACCAAGTAATT